TATTATATATAGTTTCTCTGCACACACATACATACAGAGACATACATACGGGCAAGTTTATTTCGTTTGTGAAAACGCGAGCGGATCAACGAATAGTGATTCAACGAATAATATGAGGCAGGCAGTGCACGAATCGGCTGCCAAAGCCGCTCCGGTTAGTTTGTTATTCAGGGAACGTCTTCGATTGCATGCTGCAAGACAGATCGATTGAATGTCCTCTTCAAAAATTGATTGTACGTTTTATATGATGTGCCGAGACAATAGAGGTAACTTCGCATAGGGCATAAACTATACTCCGACGACGGTATATCAGGTCCGGATAAAGTGATAACGTTCAGTCATTACTCCCGAAAAGAGCAAGAGAAAAGAGGAAGAGATTGTCTTTAAATAACGCGGTATGTTTTTTCTTCGACTGTCATTAAAAAAGAAACGGAAGTCCAAAGAATATCTTCTAATCATCGTTACGGTTAATTCAAGCCAGTTTCGATTTTAAATACGATGCAATAGTGTTTAACTGTTGCTACTTTTCGATATTTTCGTAAAGATGATAATCTCATAAATTTATTTTGCAATATTTGTGTGTGTGTGGAAAACAAAATAAAGTTATAGAAATGGCCTTTCCCTATTTTATTGTTAAATACATCGTAATATCATAATTTTGATATATCGAGATTTTTGTAGATGTTTCTACTCTAAAATAAACGTGTATCGGGAACACGTGCGAACGCGGCTATAAAAGATAAGCAATTCTGCGGTGTGTGCGTTTGAAACACAGCGCGGCGGTGTACGTGACTGAATTCTTAAACGGGCGAATTGCGAAGTTCGGATAGAGTTCAGATGGGGAATGGGATCCGTGTTTGTACCGCGCCGTTACGCGATCATCTCACCCACGGATCGAGAACGGTGGATCCGGATACACGTACGTGTCCCATCCCTTAAACCATGTACAACACGACACACGCGGATCACACGTGCGATGTTCCTCGGATCAGGACACTGTCCCCGACATCGTTTTACAGCGTGTTAAGCGCAGTCGAAACAATGCACGCGTTCGTTCGCTTATAACAATCTCCGCTATAAATACCCAAATAAATTATACGGATGTCCAATTTTCTATTCTATACGTCGAGAATTTAAAAAAAAAATCTGCAGGTTAATATGTAAGACTTTCGAATTTTAAAATTGTCGATTCTAGAGTCCTTCTCTTCGGAGGGACTTAGCGCGCTCATCGCGCGTTCATCTTTAGAGATCTAATCGCGACGAGGGGACTAAGACTACCCCGGGTAAATTTAGTACTCGTTAAGTTTCGCCCCTTCGATACATTGTGTTCGTAGATACACGCGCGCATGTTTCTGCACACATACACAAAGCCACGTTTAATCACGAAGGAAAGAGACAAAACAGAAAGAGAAAGAGTGAGAGAGCTCGCAGGAAGGAAGGAAGGAAGGAAGGGTATGTGGAAGGGAAGAGAAACCCACGGAGGGTGCCCCGATAAGTATTATTGTAATTATACACTTAGGTTTATTTCCTGCGAACGCGCACTCATAGGGGTTGATGGCATTATATACCACGGCACCCTAATAAAAATAATAAGAGCGTTAAACCGCGGAGAGAGAAAGAGAGAGAGAGAACGGTATGAGAATAATGTTCACCTTTCCGTGCGGCCAACCGCGGAATCCTCGTAATGCGTGTTATACAAGTTGTTGTGGTAGTATTGTACAGTTATAGGGAGATACGAGTAGCTTTGTACGTCTAAATTTGCCGTTAATATCTTGCCAATACTAGATAGATTCTACCTAATTCATCGCGAAAAAAATAAAGACGATAATCAATTAAATTCTCTCTCAGAAGAAATCGATTTCGTAAAAAATTCATGGATGACATTTGCATCTATAATCTTCAATAATCGGTGAAGAATGAAATTATTTATGTTTTTTCTAATAATATATATGTATACTTTTATCGTGATAATTTAATTTAATTTAATTATCTCTTATTTGGTATTAAAAAGTCTGTCTTAGGCACTTTGAGAGTACTTTTGCGACATAAATTTCTAGCTCTTAAAAATCGAGATGTGATTAAGGCAGTAAGTTTTATATTGTATCATGTTTGTGTCGCGCGCGGCATAATCTTCATAAAGTAGGGAACGCGATAAAAACGCGATGCAGCGGAGAACTTTGAGAGACAAGGCGGAAGTGTCTTCTATCTAACCATCCATGTTTCTCACTGATATGCAAGAAGATCCTTGCGGTGTCCAGAACTCGTGGTTTACGTGCGCCTGTATACACGTGTGTAGGGTTTATTTATAGATGGAAGGCAAGGTCTCTACATAGATTTACGTGTGTCAAAGCCTGGCGTGGCACAAGAACACATCGCAGGCCCTACACATCGAGCTGCATTGCGAGGTTTTGTGCAACGTTTGGCGAAAACCATAGGGAGAGCATGGAAATAGGACTGCACCCCGCTAAGGTGCGCATATTGTCTGTTTAAAAACGGCTCGCAAAGCATAGTATAACGATTCGATCATTTTCGGTTATACTGGTATATTAAAATCAAAGATACTAATCAAAATTCAGATTTGTGTGATAATTTGATATCGATTCGAGATTAAAAATATGTTTAGAAATATGATTCAAACAAATAATTTAAAAATCTATTGTGACTACTTATATTAATTAATAATTTTTAGAATAAATATTTATAATTTATAATTCTTTTTTTTTTTTAAAGAGAGAAAGAAATATAAGACTTGTTAGAAAAAATTATTTTATAATCAATTGAAAATCTTTTTAACAGTCTCGTTTAATTTATGCTAGTGACACAAAACTAATAACAAGTTGGAAGCTTGGTTAATATATCGCTACAAGCAATTATAAAAATACGTAAAAATACGTGACATATTTTCTCAAGAAATAAATTTGTGAAACTAGCTTCCTTTTATCTTCCTTTAGCTTTTCTACGAGAATCGCACTTTCGAAGAGTGTCTCGCCCATAGTGGCCCGCCATAATTTTCAATTGTGCAAATTAACATTTTCGTTCTGCGCGTTTCCGTGAAGCGCAATAAATAAGGGGGCCAAGTGAGTAGTAAATATAAATCAGGAGTGATTGGATGTAACCGGGGGTGTTATGTGTCCCCAGTGTCCCGTGTGTGGGATCGTCCGCGGGTATTCTACGGCCAAGAGAGACGGAGGAGAGAAAGATACACGTATCCGGCAAACGTAGGTGAAACGATCGTGAAACGATGAACTATCTCCGTGTAGCGATGGGTCTAAGCTGTTACTTACTTCATATCTTTCGAACAAATTTAATATATAATCCGTCATTTACTATAAAAGAAAATCAGTAGATATGCTTCTTCTCCAAATTCTTTTGATGTTAAATAATCATTTTTTAATCTGAATTGAATATTAATTTCTCCTCTAGTCGCAATTATTTAGTTTATTAATTAAACAATTATAAAAAAGTTTAATTTTTAAAAAATTATTAGAAATTAATCATTAATCTTTTTCTTACAAGATGAACTATCTGCAATCTTTCTTCATATTCAAACAGAACCTTCATAAATTGTTTCGATCGATCGTATCATTTGCTGTGGATGTTGAAGAAATTCTTAAAAATGATTTTTATTATTATTATTATTATACATCCTTTTTATATAAAATCGGTTTCTTGTTTAAAATCGCCGTATATAATAGACAATCGTGCGTTACCTTAATCTTCGAGCAATCAGATATATTTCTTCGTATAGTTTCACGACAATTAATATCCGGCGCGGATGTATCGATTCCATCGCTACTCTTATCCACCTATTTTGCCTTTACTATTGCAGACGACGTACTCGCTCGGCGTCGACGTGTCTCGATACTTCGAAGTATGTATTCCGTAAAAGTACGAGCAATGCACCGTCAGCAGAGTCGCGTTTCCCACGACGCCGCCCCCTATCATTTTAATTTCTTACCCGTTTATATCCATCACTAAGAATTAAACCCTTTATTATCTAAAGTGAACTGAATAACACCGCTGGATAACAGTACAATACGTCTCGAATTCGTAATGAGGCTAACATGTTTCGATTTTATTCTATTCTCTTTCATTTTATTCTGAAACGATCATTAGATTATTTAAATATAAACTATATAAGTAAGATTTTATTGTTGATTTTACAAGCGTTTTTTTTTTCTTTGATAACATTTTCACTGAATTGAATTTCTTCCTTTATGAAAATATTGACATTGGATTATATTTTTTTTTTTTTGCTTTTTAATATTCAATATAAAATATTGTATGTACCTAGATAATTGTGTCATAGATACTAAAAATTTCTGTTCGAATATAGTTTAAAAGTAAATATAGAATAAGTTTTTATTATATATCTATTTTTATCTGTACAGCTAATTTGCGAAAATGCTTTCATTTTCAAACGTATATAATACAGGGAAGCAATACTAACATCTCAACACTTTCGCTCGGGGAAAAATATAAACCAAAGTTTGGCGATCTATTTTAAAATAGTCTAGCCCTGCATATTAACGATCCGTCCTTTTATATCTGTCCTTATATCAAGTGAGTCAGTTTGGTTTTTCGACAGGCCACCGTATGACACGAATATTCCAACCGCGCGAATATATCGAGTAATCTCTTTCGAACGCACACGCGCTTCGCTTTTTTTTTCTCTCCTCGCCCCGTACACAGGTGTGTGCTCGTGGAGAGAGACACAGGTGTAGGCCGGATATCGATTATGTAATCTTGCGGCCGTGCGGGGAGCCGTGGCACGTATACGCCGTAATGCACGGACGAAGAGAGCGTCCCTTCACCCCCGGATGAAGGTTGGCAGAGGAGTGAAAGGGGGAGAGGGAAACGGCGAGCCATCCCCGCGCGCATAAAATAGTTCAAACCCGCCCTGTGAAGCACTTGTGACGTTAATTGTCGCCTTACTACCGCCGCGCGTCGCGCACGAACAATCCCTTGTCACGACGCTATATGCATATGTCGTTTTTCAGATTTTGATGAGAGCGACGACGGTGTGACGCGATCGGCTCGTCACCAGCTATCAGGATTTCTTCAGGAAATTCGCCGAAACAAGTGAGTATCGCAATCTTTTGTATGATTTGTAAAAAGATATTTCTCTCTTTGTTATCCCCTAGTTCATATTGGAACACGCATCAAATGAGATGTAAAATATCTCGTAATATGCTCACTTTTAATTGATTTCACTTTAATATTTTTTTTTGGGCGAAGAGTATATGGAGAAAAACTATATGTGTAAAATAATTAAATTTTGCTGAAAAGGGACGAATCTATTATGAATTGCATTGATATTATAATCATGAAGATATCAAATTAATGCGTCGATTAAAGACGCAAATTTAAAGATTCAAGGAAACATATGTATATGTAATTTGAAACTAACTTTCAAATTTTTGATAAGTTGACATTTCTTAGTATTGTGTATATTATTAGTATATATATAAAAAATGCATCATAAGATTAAAATTGAAAGTCAAATCATCCTACTGTCCGACAATCTTTGCGATGCGTAGTATGCTGTTTTCCGATAGGAAAAGAGCTTTTACTTTCAACGGTTAATGAGTAATGACACGCGCGCCGAATATAGAGAACTAATCGATAATCGCTACTAGCCGTGGCTCTTTGCGCGATGTTTATCGCCTGTCGCTGCCTTTACCATAAAATTTTCAGGAGAAATTGGTAACAGTTTTTTGTTTGATTATGCACATTGCACATTTCTTTAACAATCGCTTAAGACAAGATAATAATCTCCTTCTTTATTAAACAAGTTATATATAATAAATTAAATAACACATAAGAAATAATGAATACATTTTAATCTCATAAAAAGGATTAAATATATCAGTAATAATAGTTTTAATAAACTAAAATTATTTGCTTTTAATTATGCTTTTTTAATAATATTATAAATGCAGTAGAATATATATAAATATATATATTATTTCAAACAATAGCATTATTGTATATGTATAATAGTATATAATATAATTGTTTTTTGGAAGAAAAAGAGAAAGAATAAAAAAGATAGCAATGATAGGTTGGAGAAAAAATCTTGCATTTTGTGCTTTTTTTTTTATATATTGTTACCACGTATTAATTATATTTTATTTTCCTCTTTAATAAAGTAATTTTGTATTATCTTAAACTATAGTTAACTACTTCAATGTAGGCCACCTTAGTTTCACCAAGTTAGTAGCTCAACCTGAATTGCTAATCTTTGAATTTAATACGAGCATGTTACATGTGGTCAACATAAGATCCTATCATGGAATTTAAACTGAAAAACTGAAGGAGCTTAATGCATATCGAAACGAGAAATTATGAGTTTAAAAGACGATATCTACAAATATAAACTATTAATCACACAGCGGGATTCGCAGAAATAGCTTCTGCAGGAAGAAATAGAACTGCGCGATAAAATTTTCTCGAACGTTTCGTTATCTTCCTACGTACACACACATACAATGTTAAGAAAAATTAGGTCGTTGCACAAAACGAGGATGGCTCATCTGCCATCCGTGACATGGTCGGATAATGAATAATTTGTACGCAGCATCCGAATGTTTGATATCAAAGCATTCTCGACTGCACTGCGGCGAGAGACGAAAATTAAAAGATTAATGACGTGTAAAAAAAAAAGAGAGTCGTCGCGTTTTATTAAGCCGCGTCGTTAATATGCCACCCGGCTATAAAAGGGTCGTCGAAACCAGAAAACGTGCAAAGTAAATGTCCACCAAAGCGTGAATAATTACTATCAAACCGATGAATACGTAATACGGTCCTGTATTAATTATCATAGATAATTAACACCGTAGGTGAAAGCCACGCCTGATGCTCATAGACAATTAATAGCGATAGACAATTAACGCGACCAACCTTCGTCGATACCTTCTTTTGACCACGAGCGCTCGCGCTTGCGCGGCATTGATATAAATGTACACTCGAATATGACCAGTAATCATCGATCGATCGGCAATGCCGTCTCGTCGAACACGCAAATCACTTCTGCATGGGCTAACGATATTTGCAGACACATGCAAACTTATCGCGATTTTTTTTTCCTTTGAATTGATTTGACAATGATATCAGCCGATTATAGAACATCTCATCATGTCGAGTTGCATGGATTTTACATCTTCACATTTCCTTCCAAGATCTAGTTTTTCATGTCGATGTCAAAGTACGATGTACACGATGACATTATAGTTCTGAAGTGACACATATGCATTTTTTATAAAAATCGCAACACGTTCTAATTTTTTATTAGTTCTGAATGAAAATGAGCATTTATTTTATAATGTATGTTATTTAAAAACGCGGATTATCAATATAGCATTGACATTTTCCTCTTCCGTCCCGTTCGGCTAAATATAGCGGTGAGGTAAAGCGCCTTAAAAATGTTTCTGTGGGTGTTTCCGGTTCAGAATTACATCAGTATTAATCGTATGTAGAATCCGCGAAATCCAGGAAAAAAAAAAGGCGTTAGAATGCGAATGGGATGGGAAAGCGGGGGAAGAGGAAGGGGAAGGGAAGAGAATACAGGATGACACGATATAGGAGTACGTCTATCGCGCGCGCGTTATCGGGAGAGAACTGAAGAGAAAAATCAAAGGAGAAGAGAGGGGCCGATTACATCGGATTCGCGTTACCGGGCGTAACAGTACGGCTGTAATCTCATCTAGGCACTCAGCTCGTAGCGACGGTTTTTATCCTATTACGTCACATGAATAAACTAAAGACTGCGGAGCCCGCGCGCGCGATGTGTAGCCCGGGGAGAACGCATCGCGCCGTCGGGGTGGGACTCGCTCTTCGGATCGTTCGATATGGTTTGGTTTCCGACCTCACGATAGTCGGAGTAGTCTGTCGAGGGATCGGAAAAGCGAAGGACAAGACAAGGGGGAGAGAGTGATGGGGCCGCAGGAACGTACAGAGAAGAACGTGGCTCAACCGTGATTGATTCCGTTTAGATATCTGCTACTTTTATGAGCTTTATGATTACCGTAAAGTGCGACGAATAGGATCGAAATCATTGTGTGTTTCAAGTTCTTCTTCTTCATTTAGTTATCAATAGTCATGCGAGAACAGCCAATATTAGTTCTTCGCGTGATCGAACCCACATTAATTCTCTACGCGTGTACATCTATCAATTTTTTTTTTTAGTTATGTGGAATTTGAGGAATGTGCCAAGCTCTGCAAAAAGATTATTACAATTTTGCATGATTTGCGTGAATTTAAGATTGAACGTGAAAATTCGCAACGCTGAATATTTGAAAATTGTGATATTTGTATAAAACTGTGTACACACGCGCAGAAAAAGCTGATAGTGTTAATAAAGTTGCGACACACAAGTAACAGGTCACTGACATCACTGAGAATTTGCAATCGAAGGCAAAGAATAATATCGAGATAAATCTGATTCTAAATTTGAATAAAACATTTACTCTTCTAACTCCTTTTTTATATATGCTTCGCTTCTTCTACGATTGTGCGGATTATTAAAAATGTGACGAATGGCTTTCACGTCTCTATCCTGTTAAATTCATGAAGACTAACAGCGTAAGGTAAAGTTGGCCGCGTATTCACAACTGAGTAAAGACGCTGTGGGGGGGTTGTAAGACTAAAATAATCGATATTCGCTCAGATCTTAGATGTTACCCGGTTTAATCCGCGTCAGTGTAATATCAATTTTTCTTCATTTCTTTCAGACAAATATATTCTTTTATAGAGAGAGATTGAGAGAGAGAAACTTCTTCTCGCACTCGTGCGTTTAGTTCTGCACGTTCTAGCGTGTTAAGTTTCAAAGCAGCACAACTGTCATACATTACATACGTTACATACGTAATATCTCGCTTAATGTTACGTTTGACCTTAATGGAAAAACGGCGCTCGATACGATAGCGATAACAATACTCTAAATGCGGCGTTTCGCTGAACGGCGGAATATGATTTAAATGAAACCTTGAGACGTTTAATTTTAAACCGCATTGCGAATCGAAAGTTATTTTTATTGAGCTCTTCACGCCGGACAAATTCTATCGTCACGGATATTTCCCCGACCAATTTCACTTTTCCATCGACCGTTTCTACGACAGCTCGATAATGCAATTTACTGCGATCAGATCGCCACGATTGATTGTCATGCTCACAATTGTATTCGGCATAAATAATAGTTTAAATTCAATTATGACATTTAGTTCTTTGATTAGCCCAATTCGAGGCAAATTCATCAGAAGAGAATTGACATAATTTTCTGATAAACTTATCTGTATCAGAAATCAAAATTGCATGGACAAAACTTATGTTTGTTTTATAAACTGAAAAACTATCCGCATATTATATATAATGTTATTAGTCTTTTTTTTTAAATTTAATTTCTTCTTAATTTATTATAATTAAATGTGATATTGAATCAATTATTATTATATATTACATTATCTTCGATAAAAATATATTTATTTTTCAAATTTTTTTTTCCTGGATTTTTTTAAGCTCTTTTGTGAAAAAAATCAGATCATATTAATTAGATTGGAATATTTATTTATGATTTTTTAATTGAATTTCATTCAATTCAACGATTTTTAAATACTCAGATGCTATCATTGTTTTAGATGGACAGACAGACATATGTTAATATTTTACAATAAATGTATGTATATGTATCTCCAATAAAAAATATTGTTTTCTTTAATAGTCCAGCATATTTTACATAAGAGTATGTGTAAAATAGTACAGTATTATTTTTTGCGCTTAATAAAACAGATGATCCTTTCAAATTTGAAACGCTTGGATAAATTGCTTGGATCTTTTACGTGTTGTATCGAAATAGGAACTTTTATTTCGGCTAGTTTGTTTAATGTTAGTGGCTAATGGTTTTATATAATACATCGTTTTGGTTTTAACAGCATCTATCATACGATAAATATAAAGCTACAGCGAATTATTAAAAAAAGTAATTTATAGTAACCTTGAAATGGTGTAGTCACTTTCTCTTACATCTATATTTACGGGGGATACATTTTTATATAAAAATTTCCTGAATGTTGAATATTTATGATAACAATATTATTGATGTAGTAAGTAATGAAACAGCTATAATCATTTATATGTATTTCGACATATTTTACAATAAACATTAATATTATATGATAGAGTTTTTTAATTTAACAAATGTATACGGGTTTCAAGACACGATATATAATTTTTTACAGATTTACTTCATCGCTTCTAAATTTAAAATATGTATAAAAGGAATAAAAGTGACATCTTTAGAAATGATTTAAGATTATTATATATAAGTTTGTTTATTGAATAATTTAGTAGGAACAGACTTCTTATAGTCGGTTCAAGAACCCGAAGTTACAATTAAACTATTGATTCATCGATAAGATTAAATGGGAATCTTTTTGCTAATAAATTTTGTTGCAATATCATCAAAACTTGACAACTAATTGACAATGTATATTTTTTTTTTTATTTATATGTATTTCGACATATTTTACAATAAACATTAATATTATATGATAGAGTTTTTTAATTTAACAAATGTATACGGGTTTCAAGACACGATATATAATTTTTTACAGATTTACTTCATCGCTTCTAAATTTAAAATATGTATAAAAGGAATAAAAGTGACATCTTTAGAAATATTTATTTCGTTAACTAAATGCAATGCAACGATTCTGAAGAAATGATTCCAGACTTCTCGGCAAATGATGATTTATAAATATAGACGCAACTTGAAAGAAATATTGATCTTTTCATGAATAAAAAAACATGGGTTCATACGTGTATTCTTGATATTCCTCACATACATGCACACAGTTATATTTATAGATATATTCGCTTTAAAATTGGGTGTGTACATGTCGCCAGTAAGTACGAGAAATATGAGCATGCCGACGCGGTCAAGTGTCGGGCAATGAAAACGAATGAAGAGAAACTTCAACGACATCCCTCGCCACCCTACGTCGCTTCTTAAAATGTTCCACGGTGTCGTACTCTTGCGTTTATCCGATCCGCCATTTCAATCGTATTTTAAACGATCGCAGACACAAAAAATTGTCCGCGTTCCATGCAATAGTGCACGCAATATTGCATAGGGCAAATAATAATTACGAATAAATGCAAACGTGTCGCTTAGATCATACATTGAGTGGATTAAAATTAAAACGTACATTGTATGCTGTATTCTAGAAAAATATCAGATAATATTGTCACCGGGTGATTTACTGATTTGACTACAATAATACAAAATTAATTAAAGTTTAATATAATGATTTTTTTAAATTAATGAATAATTTTCTTTTGAATTTTTAATAAAAAAAGTTTATATTCGAATACACCTTTTTTGATTATTTTATTTTATATTAGTTGATCTGCAATATAATATATCTTTTAACTTCAAAAGAATATAAATTAAATAACATTTCTTTAATTAAAATATTATGATTTAATATTATTATATATAAGTTTGTTTATTGAATAATTTAGTAGGAACAGACTTCTTATAGTCGGTTCAAGAACCCGAAGTTACAATTAAACTATTGATTCATCGATAAGATTAAATGGGAATCTTTTTGCTAATAAATTTTGTTGCAATATCATCAAAACTTGACAACTAATTGACAATGTATATTTTTTTTTTTAGATAAAACCTTGATTTGATTCACCATTTTGTGTGTATGTTAAAAGATATGTCGAAATAGAAGACGTCATTCATAAATTAAATTAACTAACAATAAGTCTCATAATTGTTTTTATCTGTAAACATTAAACATTAGACATTAAAATATGCATAGAAGATTTTGTGCAATGTAATTATTGAGTAACTTGAAATTGAAAGCCAAAAGAAAAATATTCAATATATAATATATATATATATATATATATAATTTATATATATATATATATATATACACCTTTTTTTAACATTTTACTAAGCATTTTAGAGAAAAACGTTTTGAACAAAAATTGTATGGTT